ATTTAGTTAAGATTTTCGCGAAATCTTATTAGAAATTATATAAAGTATCCCTAAATATCATTTTTGATAAAAATTTTAGATTTACGGCTTACTTTTAGTAAGATTTCCTAAAATTAGTAGGGATTAAGCCCCGTATAAATATTATTTTTTATCTTTAAATAAATGGCTAAATAAAAAGACTTAATTAAACTTTCGAAGTTTATTTACGAGCTTTTGTTAATTACGAAATAAGCAATTGGGAGGATTTATTACTTATAGCCGAATTTGCCTATAATAATATAAAGGTAACTATAACCGATATAACTTCTTTTTATATAAATTACGGCTACTACCCGGCGGCTTATAATCCCCTACTAAGAATTATACGTAATCCGGGAAGCCGACTTTACGCTTATTAAATAACTTAAGTATACGAGAACGTATAAAAGTATTTGAATAAAAGTTACGAACGTATAAAGGTATAAGTAAATAAAAAGCGAAAGGAAGCTTCCGAATTCTTAAAAAGTTAATTAGTAATATTGAATGCGAAAAATATTAAGATTAAGCGACCCGCTAAAAAGCTAGATAAAAAAATGTTGGGATTTTTTAAAATCTAAAAAGTAATTTTATTTACTGCTATTAGATTATATTTACTTAAAAAATAAAAAATCTATAATTTATTTTACGTTTTATTTATTAAATTTTACCGCGCTAGCAATTAAGTAATGTTTAACTTTAACTAGGTTTTATAAGAGGCAAACCTGATTAAAGTAGAAAACTTTTAAATAAATAAAATTATGAATTTTATATAAATTTAAGGGAATATGAAGTATTTAGTTAAGTAGGAAAGTTAGCTAGCTAAACGGCACTAAATTTAAAAGCTTTACGACTATTTCGATAGTGAAAGCGTAAAATAAGTTATTACGTAATTTTATAAGCAGAATTTAGGTAAGCCCGCAAACCTAAAAGTATTAACGCTCGAGGTCGAATATTAAGAAAAGGGGAGGTGGTGTTATATAGTTATTAAAGCTAAAACTTATTAGAAGTTATACGAGATGTAAAAATGTTATATAAGTATATATATTAGGTGTTATTGGTTGTTATTTATTACTAATAAAATATATTACTGCCTAATAAAAAGTATAATTATTAGATAACGCCGATATAAGCAATAAAAAATTACGCGTATTAAAGTACGTACTATAGTAGCAGGTTTATATAAGACTATACGCCGATATAAATTAAATTAAAACCTATAAGCACCCTTAAAAGCCTTAGAGAATTATTATTAAATTGATATATTCCAAGCCTTATTACAGCTCTTGTCACAGATAGCATGTTATAACTGTTTGCTTGATATAATTTTAGCTTTGGGCTATAGGAGCCATGTATAAAACTTGGCAAATATAAAAGGACATAGTAATATTTTACCAAGCATCTTGCCGGCATCATCTAGACTATATAGATATATAGAGAGCCTATCCTTGGCAATCTCTTGACTAAAATCCACGGCAGAGATTTGGAAATAGAAAAGTCATAGGTTCTATAGACCTTTCCGTATTAAAAATACTATGCACCTATAACAAGATTACAATAATTCTCAGGGGCCAAAGCAGGATTCTCTGTGGCTAGGCACCCTCTACAATGATGAGTCTAATTCTATGCAACTACCACTACATCATTTATACAACATAGGACAAATTTGATGGAAGCGAGAAAATATACCTGAAGGTAAAGTAGCATTGAAATGACTATGGGCGATATCGGTTGTTACTCTAGCATTCCTTATATAGCCGTTGTCTAGCTAGAGAAATGTTGTTTCTTCATACACAGATGTGATAACTTCCGCAGTTGCAATTCGCTTGAAACTAATCTAGGTACCTGGAGTTCCATCCTGAATAGGCATTGCATTGCCAGCTAATACTGGAACCTAGCCTTTATTGCCTAGTCTCTGGCTCCAATGAAACCCGAGTGCCCAGTGGAAGAGCCTGAGAAAGAGAGTAAGCAAGTTGCATGACAATTTCTAGGGACTAATCAGAATTACCTTGCATCGACTATCGTACCAGGTTCCTTGGACAAAGCTATATATATTAGTTATCAGCATATACCCAGGAAAGCGCGCTAGAAGTATGATTAAGCTGTACCTTGTAGTTTGTCGTATAGTTCCACTATAGGCACTATAAGCCGTTCAATATGCTCTCCGTCATCTAAATGTTGTTCTGGTTCCTCGTCATTCTCTCCAAGGTTAACTTCCACAGTGGCCATCTGATGGCTAATATTAGCTCAACCACAAGGTCAAATCTTGGGCAGCCTTACCTGCATATTCGCGTTTGTTAATCCCGGATCCGACACGATGGTGGGGCTGATATCAAGAATCTACAGAGGAACGTTGGTCATCCCAGTCAACAACTCAGCGCGGGGCTATAAGCACATACCTGGCCTTCATATCCAGTCTCTTCTTTCAATTCCCGCACAGCGGCTTGCCCTGGTGTTTCTCCTTCGTCAATCAAGCCCGCTGGAAATTCTACACACGTTGCCTCCACGGGCGGACGATACTGCAGAATTACCAGCGTCGACGGTGGCCTTGATGGATGGCGCAAGATAGGGGCGATGGCAACGGCGTCAATGCCCCCTTTGCCCCGCGTCTTCCGAGCTGCCGTTTCCCAGATGCGATCTTTGCCTGACTGTATAATTTTTAGTTGAGAAGACCACGGTTACGTTGCCTTTGGGAATCACCTGGTCAACCCACTATTTGCACCAAAGTTAGCAGTTATAAGTGTCGGGGTGAGGAAAGGCTGGGTACCTCAATCTTCCTCAACTCAGTCCATTTAGCCTCAGCTGGAGATAGCGGCCCAACATTGCGAATCTTCGGCTGCTCTGCCATTTTAGGAACACGCTCTACGTAAACAATATATTTATCTAAATAGCAAGTTGATCGCATAAATCATTCACCCCCATAGGTTGTTTGTGAGTGTACGAGCTCAATATAGCCAAAAAGCCGCGACGAACCTTCGTAGGTACGAGGTAAATGAGAAGTTAGAAATGAGCCACCACAGCCACAACACTTGTCACCTTGTCTTGTATACCTAGGTATGATTGACGCTAAGCTAATAAGAGGGGCATCCCCCTTTTCTCCAATGATGAGGCACCAAGATAAGGATGCACCAACATAACTATTAGGTGGGTTACGGTGATTATAGCCAAGAATACGGCGAGAGCAGTCATTTCGAAACACCACGCGGTTACTATATTGTCAAGGGAAATTGGAGTTCTGCGTTCCAGCTAGGCCAGCTACTTGCAAATACTATCACCGTATCCCACCTTATTTAGCCCTTTTCTAAATGGATCATCTTTGTGGAGGGTATACCTACATGTCATCAAGATCTATTAAGATTCACCATAAACTAGTCGTGGGTTGAAATCTACATTAGAACCTCGATTTTATGAAATTTGGACCATTTTCTAAGTTGAGGACCTTTATACGTACTTCTTCTTTCGGGCGTAGGTTTAAAATAACCAGATAAGTGACTCCCTTACTACGGGTATACGTGAGATGGACCTAAACGCTAACTGAGATTGAGTTATTAAAAAGGTTACCGGAGTTAAGATTATTATAGATAACTAGGAAATGGAATGTGGTAAGGTACACCGTGGTTTGCTATCTAATAAGGTTATAAATGAGAAAAACCTCAATGATTATACCTACCTAATAATAACTCGGGACGTGGAGGCATTTCGAAAGCTTATACGTATAGTGAATTGAGTAGTATAGAATATCTCTTCGAAGTTGACACATTCATTGGCACGGGAGGTCCTGACCAATGCTATAAGTTTTGTACTTCTTCAGTTGAATTGGTAGTAGCTGTTACCTAGTATAGTTATTCTATATCTAGTACTAGAAAATATTTAGCAATCATTGTTCCATCGCTTGTTACTGCAACACCCATAATTCCCTTCATCGAGTATTTGGTGGCTTCCATTACAGTCCTCTATTATATACCCAGGCAACCCAAACGCAGATGAAGATACCATTCCTCAAAAGGGCGAGGAAGGTTATTACCTACGCTGAGTACGAGCAAACCTCCTCGGGCTTAGGATTAGAGTCTTACTTTGCCATAAGGACAAGATTTCGACTTTTATCAGGGGCTTATATTTATTATTAGGTAACAATGTACTTTGTTTTAAAATTATATGTGTTGCGAACATATTAATTGGCCTTCTCGTTAGTCACTAGGTGGCTTCATTACGATGCCGATTTTCGACATGTACGATTGGCCATCAAGCATGAATGAGCCTGATTTAACTAATTCAATATGCATCAAAGTTCACTATACATAGTATATGTACAACTCAACTGCTCAGTTACCTGTGTCCTTTTTGTCGCCATCAGATAGGCTTCAAAGAGATTGGCAGCTACGCACATACACACTCTTGACGGATGGATTTTGAGCCCATTATACAAGCTCTCACAGCTTTGCCGCTACAAAGAAAGTCCCGATCGCTCCTTTGTTCTGTTAAGGGATAATAACTACTGTGTGCCAGCGGAATATCTTTAGGCTTTATTCTACCCCATGAATAATACACTAAGGTCTACAACGACCCCTTAGTCTCGAGACAATCATCAAAGAGCGCATGTAATAATAATACGCTTTGCCAGCCGCATTATTTCCTGACCAAGCATACATACGAACCTGCTGTCCAAAGAATCTTTTTATCTAAGATGGAGTACATAACTACTCAGGAGCTTATCTATGAATTGCTCTTTTACCTACTCTGTGCTTACTCTGTATGCCTTATGTTCATTCTTCGTAATGAGACCATGGAGCTCAAGCACATTGCCTTTTTCAGTAAACTGTGCGTGCTTTACTGTATCATTTTCATAGCTATCCACACATTTCTCGGAGTTATTATAGCATGGTTGGAGTGAAATATATTTTTTTTATCAAGATTGTCATAGAAATCGATTGTGGCCTTCGTCCTATTCTTCGCGATTGCTAATAACTAGTAAAAAGCAGGTAAAACTCCGAATCGGGGAATCGAACCCCGGGCTTGACGGTCTTTTCCGATTCAAAATACCAGATGAAAACGTCAAATGTTAGCCGCTACACCAATTCGGATACATCTCATAGCGACTCAGACCGACCAATTATAGTCCATACTGTATTGTGCAACAATATTGGACAACCCGACCAGACTTTACCGCAGATTCTTTAGAAGACAATAATGCAAAAGGTTGAAGATTGATTAACTACGCGTCGTAACTCGTATTGCATTTATCCAACTACTCACTATCATGCCTGTTTCACCATTTACTGTATCTGTACGATCGCGTTGTCCCATCCCTCGTTATTATACTCAACATTATCTTTCGAGTGAAACCTATAATCGGTACTACGGTGCCCATTAGTTGGATGTCGTGATCAGGATCCCGGCTCTGAAACCTACCCGGAACTCTTCGTTCTCACGATCGGTGAGATCTAAGAATTCGTTATTCTCCTTGTGTTCTAATCCCTGATGTAGTCGATCTCTCCTTTTATTCTCCCAGGCACTGCAATATCAGGGTTAGCGATGGCTACTATCCGATAATTGTGGATGTTCTAAAATATGCTCCAGGAGTATTGTGCTTACACAAACTCTCAAGCAGCCAATCATATTGATGATATAGTGACGCAAAGGGCAATAGAGAGCTCGGGAATGCACTCACTAATACGCCATGAGTACGCCCGTGGCCAACACTGCGGCTGCCGTCGAGGCCACGATTATGATTTTGGCAGGAAGGTAATTAGGCTTATCCATGTCGCGGAATGTTAGCGGGCCGATGATGTTGCCCAGACAAAACGAGATCAGCACCATAGCATTCATCGTCACCTTCTTCGTGTGTCCGGCGTAGTTAGCCGCCGAGTACGAGTAGAGGATCGGCAGCGACGCGCCGATCACGTTTGTCAGGTAGTTGCCGGTCAGCAGGGCGCCTTGGTTGTCCGCGGGCGAGAAGGCCAGGAGACAGCCGCCTATGACGCCGCCGATGAGCAGCACGACGATGATGACGGGGCCGCGCATGTTGAATCTCGCGGCGCTGATACCTGCCGAGATGGTGGTGATGCAGCTGAGGACGCCCGAGGGGATAGAGAGGAGCGCCGTCTCCTTGGAGGTATAGCCGAATCCTTTAATAATGGTCGCCTGATAGCTGGAGACAGCGCCGTTCGGGATGTTAGACGTGATGGTGATGAATGCGATGAGCCAGGTTTGCGGATCTCGGAAGCACTCCCATACTTGGTGTACCTTGAAGTGCTTGTTCTCGATGCCGGTCTGGTTCTCGCGCAGGCGCTCGATGGCCCAGATCTTCTCCTCGCGCGTCAGGCGCGACGTCATCGGGCTGTCCGGGAGGAACACCATGGTGAGAGTCCCGACGGCAATGGTGATGAGGCCGAAGAGCAAGAACATGATTTGCCACGATGTGAATCTGCTGGACTCGTAGTGCTGGAACCCGAAGGAGGTAAGGGCTCCGATGATAGTCCCAGTGCCCGTTCCGACGTACCAGAACCCGACGCGCGCAGGCTGCTCGGCGCGCTTGTACCACATGCTGGTGACTAGTATGAGTGCTGGTGCTACTGCGGCTTCGAAGCATCCCAATAGAACCCGGAGGGTTGCGAGAGCGGCCCAGTTCTTAGCCGCAGAGTTCAGAGTGACCATCAATCCCTATCACGTGGCAGTCAGCACTTCTTGATTTACTAGATCAGGCTCTACAATCATAGTCGATATCGTTCAATCGACGAAGCGTTAGAAATCAAAGCATCTAGAAGGGATCCATCTTGAATCGAGGTTACGGTATTCGGAATGGTTACTTGCCCAAAATATAACATTAGCCCCCAGATATTTGGCAGTCGGCAGCCTCTGCATAAGGTAGCCTGTCGGGAACTCGAACGCTAGGTAGGTGACATAAAAGAGTGTAGCTAAAAGAGAGAACTGATTCCCAGTGATGCCGGTGTCCTCCTGGAGGCCCATAACATTAGCGTAATTGACTGTTTATCATAAGCAAGTAGACTTCACGATGGGGAGCAAGCGTGCATACTAAGTGTCTTGTCAAGATACTGAAGATTGTAACAAGCCCCTTATGCAGTTATTAACTCATGTATGAGGCCAAGGTTTATTTAGGAACTAACACATAATGGGCACAATAGTCAAATCAAGTTTCCTGACGAGTGCCTTCTCATTGATCTCTGTCATCACCGTGGTATTCTCACGATTGAGGTATTCAAGTGCCGCATCGACATCGGTCGGTTTAGGCGCCTGCTGCTCCGCATCGACCTTGTTTGACGACATTCTCAATTCAGATGGTTTGCTTATTGCGAAGTGAGTTGAGGTGGAATCTATAGCGATCAATAGACCCCGTGATATGTCTGTCTGCTATACTCTCTCAAAAGAAGACGACAATTCACACAAAATCACAAAAGCAAGTCGAATTCGAAGCTCTAATCGCCCAGTTCCAAAAAGGCCGAGGATAAACGAGACGCTGGCATTATGAAATGCACAGCGAACTGCCTTATCATAACTCCAACGCTCTGTTCGCCTCGGGAAAGAACGGCCGGGGTGCGCATTGTCCATGACGGATTAGAGAGATAAACACTTGTAAATCCATAAACCAGACTTTGACGGACGATAAGGATGCAAGGGTGGTTTCCTGGCTGCCTGGCAGAGAGTTGACATGCAGCGCGGGAATACCCTAGTCGGTTGTCAACGGGACTAGATAAGAAACTGCGTAGCAGTAAGGCCGCGGGCACTGCCGATCAACGGTAGAGATGATTGAAATGCACGATATCGGCAGGGATCCGATGGATATCTATTCACCGGTTCTGATAAGTTCTGATAGGCGGAGGGTAGAGCTCTTTACAAGGCTAAAGGGAAATTCGGGGCATAGAGCGATATTCCAAGGCCAGCCTTTGCGACGAACATACATTGAATAGATAGACTACCGCTAGTACGCAAACAGCACACGAGGCTGAGGAATTGATTCATCATGCAGTATTAGATGAGGCATCTCCGTGGGCTATAAGCGTGAACTGGGAGTTCCTGCGCTAGGCTGGCGCATCCCCTAATGGAAAGCACTCAAGTGCATCTTTACCTCTCGCCAGAGTTTACGTAGCTTTCATACGCTTCAGAGAACAAGCCGTGTATTGCCGCAAACCCCAATGCTCCGATATCAAGCCTGGCCGAATGCGGAACAAGACATACCAATGACTCTCAGATCGGGGCAAGTCCCAAGAATGCGGCTCCGGTATCCTAGACATAAGTGGCAAGAACGCTGCCATCGCTGCTCATGAGGAATTCTGCGGAGAGACCAAAACGACACTATCTCCTGAGATGAGGCGTTAGAGAGGGGCCCAACGACAGGAATTCCATCTCGAGAACATACCTCGAACAAACAACATTTCGGATTTCTTCGTAGTAGTCTAGAGGACATATTTAGCAATAATCCACGTAGCGATGCGCTAGGGAAACCACTCACTCTTATTTCTTCGTCGCTATTATCTTCTTCGACTATGTAGATGGTCTCCACGACGTCGCCAAGGATCAAATTCATGTGACTGTCGTAGGCCTTGATGATAGCAAGTCAGCTGAGAGTAACACGAAGATGATTCGCTTGCTCCACATACATGAAGCCTCCCTTGCAATTCGCGGTCGCCCCGTAGCTTCACGAATACCACCTCATCCAAGAGCAAGCGCACAAGGTCAAGAGGCTCCGACACAGAGCCGCCGGCCGGGCCCTCCTCGCCTTCAGCCATAGTGATCGGATATACTTAGTGCCCGTTCGTCTGGGTTGTCGTTCGCGTCTTGATATTATTATTAGGTTGATCGGGTCGTTTGTGGAAGACTTGGGTGTACGATGATAAGTTCTTGTTCTTCAGGGAATCCCGAGCACCATGAGCAGTAGTCTTGGCGCGCTAGCACACAATGGAAACTTATTTAGGTACGGTACCTAGGGCTGGTTAGGTAGGAGCTATGACCACTGGAAAATACTGCTGCCGGCCGACGTCTGTACGGAGTATGCGTATATGCATTTATCAATATGAGCTTCTAAAGAGATGAGGTCCACAATGGATCCTCTCTCCCCCACATCCATTCTCCACCTCTTCCCCTAGATCTCAGCCGGGTTGCAGATTGTATTATTTAATAAGATACGTGCTGTTTTAAACATGTATTATACCGCACCTTTTAAATCGGCTGCGTTTTATATACTCGCACGGACCTAATATGGCCCAGATATGGCTTAAGCTTTCTCGCTTAACGTACTTAATTTTAGCTTTATTTTACGAGATTTTACGGTCGGAAAAAAAATATTTTAATAAAAATAAAAAATAAAAAATTTCTAACAAAATAAAATCTTATTATATAACATTATATACTATATTTAAAATAGGTTGTTAGCGGTATATAGGTGGTTACGTGATCTAAGCTTAGTGTTTAAAACACTGCGTTTTATACGCACTTTACAGGGGTCTGTGTATAAAACGGTATCTTTCCGAAAAGTGCTGCACCTTTGCAACCCTACCTGAGCCTGGAAGTCTAAAACCTCAAGCTAACACATGTAATGATCCACCACCCTCAACAAGCGCCCCAGGCATTGCACATACCATCGTAATGCATTGCATTTGTATCTGATTTCCCTTATCATGCATCTTGCGAGTCATGATAAGCTTCAAGATCGTCAATGTTTCCCGGAACTGCAGCGGTGGAGCTTGGTGGGCAACGGGTCCTGTTCCACCGCTCTCCTAGAGGAAGACCAGGAACACCACGAGGATCTTCGAGGGTCCTAGCTCCTCGTCTATGTCGACCGTCCCATCGGCGACTAATAATCAGCTCCACTGCCTACCGCTTATCTTCTTTAACGAATCCCCGTGTAGTCCGCCACAATATCTCGAGAGCTCGATTTCCCATCCGTTCCGTACATAGCGATGTGACTCCTGCTGTTCTCACGGATCCTCAGCTGGATCTCTTACAGGACCTCCTCCATGCCTATCCCTCTGCGGACGGCCTCCCCGGGGCAGCCGACGTCTCGAAGGTCACGATGTCGTCGGGTGAAAAGGGCCCAAACTTCGATGTCGTTGCTATGCAGTTTCCC